TCAAATATAAACGCATTTTCACCGTGGTTAAAACTATAATATGCCCTTATACCGGTTTAGATTCGAGACTTACCATAAACTTGTGAGCGATGATGGACATTTTGTTTGCGCTTCTAATTATTTACTAAAATATATATAATATGTAACTTTACTAAAGTTACGTAATTCGGGGTACGAAAAATTTCAATCGGAATCGTAAAGTAACAAGCGTCTGTTTACTGTGTGTAAATAATAATGTATGTATATAAAATCGTTGTATGTTAATAATAATGTTTTAATTATCTATTTATTAAATCGAAATAGTGGAATCTAAAAAACAGAAATATATACACATTGGTAACCTCCTTGTTGTACATTAACATTTAAAAATAGAATGTCTCGAACACATTTCCTATAATTTATGACAAATTTCAAAGGAAATCGATAATGTTATCTATGATTAATGTAGATAGTCATATTTACTTTTTAATTGACGTCATCTGTTTGTAAGTTCACAGTAATAAGCGTGAATGACTGATAAATAAATACAATTAAAATTCTGTCGCAAAAAAAATAGCAAATCATTAATTGCAAATCGCGACAGTCATATTGTCTTTGCTTAACTTTCACTTTGTGTATGGTCCATTTTCATTGTAATTCCAACAAACGCTTAGAAAAAAAAGTGCGTGCGTACAAAGTACACATGTCAGAAGTGAAACTTCTTTGTAAATTAATTATTACTAAAGTAAATAGAAGATCATGTACAGTATATGATCACTCCATGTATTTGTATACTGAACTAATATTTCATAAATTCTCTTTACGAAATTTTAATTTTAAACATTAAATATATTCATGCTACGTACGCCTTTTCTCACTCTCTTTCAATCGGTCTCAATCGCTCTCTCCCTTTTCTTCGACAAAAACGCTGCACATTTTCGTGACGCTAATATTATTGTTATTGCGTTTCATCCGTAAAAAATTTACCCTCATGCGCCTAAAGAAATAAAGTTTCAGGGCTCGCTAAATGCCACGGGCCCCCAACCCAAGAGGGCCCCTGATCAAGAGATATTATGTTATGAAAAGGACTCCGGTGGCTCATGTATGGTTTTCGGGGATCGATACTTAAGAAAAAAAAGTGTGTGTACTTATGTAAACGCGTTAGAAGTTATTCTTCTTTGGCGTAACGAGGTAAAAATTTTATTCTACGTTTGCAGAAAAAACTACACTAACAATAGAAAATACTATAATGTTGACTATAGCTAACATAGGTGTCGGATTTTTGTGACGGCGCGCGCATCGTAAAAATTTACTCTCATCATTCCCTAAAGAAGTATAACTTCAATAACTCAATTTGCGGCATTATGACACACGATCCGCAAGACACGTTAGAGCAGTGTTTCCCAACGTGCGGTCCACGCCCCGCAGGGGGGCAATTTGATTGTTAAGGGGCTATTCGAAAATGTAGTAAAATTATTTGAAATTTTAATTTCAGCTTTTCATTATTTAGTTAACAATTTCCTACTAATTTCTTTCCTATGATTTAAGTGAACTATTAAATTTTTTAATATTAAAAATTACGTAGGTATGTTACATAAGAATTGTAAAACGCTAAGGTGGGGCATGGGACCAAAAAGTTTGTTAAACACTGCGTTAGAGAATACAAAACTATTAAGTCATTTGAATGACTCCCCCCCCTTCTTGTCAGCAAAAGTAAGCAAAGCTCTCAAACGAAAAAACGAAAATGCATTCCGTTTTCAAGCAAAGACATGTGCCCACACATGTAGCATCCCGTACCAAAGCCCTTCAATCTTCCAAGGGATCACCGACATTCCGGCCGCTTGCCATCGTCTCTTGCGATGCCTGTTGGCACCATAATCGCTGGAACATTGACGGAGGCAAGAGAGCGACGTATAATGTCGTTGAGCGCGGCCTGCGCTCTTATGGCAGTAGTGGCCATGGTGTCCAAGGTTACTTACTTCAAAGCCACGGGGACAGTTATGGGCACTCCTAAGCGGAGGCCGATGGCAATGCGAAGTGATCCAGAGGCCAAAAGGGTGACAGTGTTTGGCGAAGTATTTTAATTGAAATAATGCAATAAAGGCTTTATCGTGTTAAATGAAGCGTAACTAAAGACCGTGTTGCCAAGGTTACGGTGTAAAAATGGCGTTCATGGTTGCAAACTTTAAGCTTTTATGACCATAGAGGTTTCATTATTGATTAAAAACGGAGCTATTGCTAAATAATTAATAATAATTAAAACTAGGGACACGAATTTATTTTTATATATTATAAGACCAGAGCAGTGTTGGCCTAGTGGCTTCAGCGTGCGACTCTTATATCTGAGGTCGTAGGTTCGATCCCCGGCTGTGCACAATGGACTTTCTTTCTATGTGCGCAATTAACATTAACGGTGAAGGAAAACATCGTGAGGAAACCGACATCTCTTAGACCCAAAAAGTCGACGGCGTGTGTCAGGCACTGGAGGCTCACCTAGTTGCCTATTAGATTTAAAAATAAATCATGAAACAGATTCAGAAATCTGAGGCCAAGATTTATTTTTATATTATAACACCACAATTTAAGTTCCAAATGTAGGCAAAACAATTATGGAATTGATAAATCATTATAAATTTCACACTACAGAAATATAAGTTGAGAAATCTTCGCGTTATATGGGGACGGGAATTGCGTTATAGGGATATGATTTTTTATGAAGTTTCGTTGATGTTTTACTAACCAATGTAAGTCCTGTATTTAAATAACGATCTTCAGTTATTTAAGTTGTGATATAACGTTTAGTAATCATAACAATCAAATATACAGTAATTATAATTTTCTTAAGAAAAGAAAATTAAAACAAATTTAAAAAGTTTGGTCCCTGTGGCAGTGTACCTTTAACGCTGGCAGCATTTCCTCGCTGTATTGCGATACTTATTCGTTGAGCGAGGAAAGCACCAGCTCTGGGGTCACCGGTACTATCTACCAGGCGCCAATTTAATCTTTAATTAGCGCTTGAACCCCACGGCCCAAGAGTCTCTACTACAAAGGGGACAAAATCGAAGTTGGAGGAAAGACTGTCAGATTCCCGAAAAATCTATGGTGTTACTATCAAATTATTAGTTGACAAAGTGACCATCTTATCCTAATAACTTTAAATAGATGTCTCTGTTAGAGGTCTCAAGAATACAAGACGTTGATCGTCTTGTATTCTTTGCTTTGAATTAGAAAAACTATAAATAAATAGCCACCGTTTATTTATTTCTTCTTGCTTTTATGAAAATATTGTTCAAAAATATGTTTTACTATGTGGACAACTGTTTTTTAATTATGATTCGTTAAAACACAAATAAACAGTCACTGTTACAAGATTTCTAGTTCATTTTCGAAAATTGCTAATAAATGCGTTTTACACGTAGGAACAACTGTTTATTTGCTTTGGATTTGAAAAACTATTAATAAATAGCCACCGTTTATGTGTTTCTTCATAGTTTTTCGAAAATATTGTTCGAAAATGCGTTTTACAATAGGGACAAATGTCCAATAATCATCTTGGTGTGGTTCCTTATCAGCGTTGCCATACGTCCCGATTTTGGCGGGACGTCCCAATTTTTTTATGAAAATGAAATGCCCCGCGCGAAAATGAAAACTCAAGACACCACTGCCATGCTCAGAAATGGCACCAGCTCTTTTAACAGCTACCAAAAAAAGATACCAGGTATATCATATACTCATTCCTCAGAGTTCTGACAATTATTTGAAACGCCATAATTGTCTAATGAATATGTACTTTTTTTGGTTTAGTTTTGTTGGTGTTGTGATTATTTTTATAATTGAAGATCAATCATAGTCGATTTTTCATCAGCCACCTCCCGACATTGTCTGGTCTTTTATAACCTAAACCTAACCGGATATTCGATATACATCGATGTTTACAATGCGATACATTGAATCCGATGCTTTGAAGATGTATTGATATACTCGATGCATTGATGTTTTTTAGTAAAACATCGAAAGGATGATAAAACCAGTAAATTTCACAAATACTCAAGTTTGAATGGAACACTATAACTTAAAAGTAAAATAAATTTATTCAGCAGCTCAAGGTATTTAATAAAAAAGACAAAAATACTCCAATGTGCTACTCAGCATCTATCAAATTTCAAGTATTTATAATTTCTATTGTTTATTTTCAATTAATAAAACCATGGAAGAATAAAATATTTAAGGTGTTTATTTAGAAATTAATTCAAAAATTAGGAAAAATCGATTAATAAAAAATCAATTTTTTTATGCATAATGTCACATCCCTAGGTGTTACGATGATCTCGCTACCTTTTTAAGTCTAGACCTCTAGGAATCAGTATTGGGCAATAATAATTTTGAATCATGAATCTCTAATATTAATACAATTTTCTCAAGTACATATACAAAAAAATACAGTTTTAACAAGATTTCTTTAGGTCAGCGCCATCTCGTGTAAATATAAATAACTCAAGTTTCATTTGCAGTACTATTAAATGAAGTAGGGGGATAAATAAGTAGTGAAAAGAATCCGCATTAAACAATAATAATTTTAATTGCTGAATATCTAAGAGCGATATAATATTAATACAATTAACTCGGTAAAAAACAGAAATACTGTTTTTAGATGTTTTTTTTCGATCGGCGCCATCTCGTCAGCTTAAATCTAACTATGTTAACAGTTTACAAACTTGCCGTGAGGTCAGTACTATCACAGCAAAATACAACAGCGCTTGTGATAGATATATACACAAATATAAAAATATACTAATTGTAAACGAACATTGTTTCGCCTTAATATGTTTTTAGTACATATGGACTTTTGCCATGCTACCCTGTAGAAAATATTGTTCAAAAATGCGTTTTACGTTGAGGACAACTGTTTGTTAATTTGGATTATTTATATACTTACTGCTTGTTGATAGGATAGTAATAATAAAAAAACATTATGAAATAAAATTTATTCCCTTAAACATTAATTAAATTAAATATATTGTCTAACTATCCGTAAACATAACCTGATTATCATCTACATTTGTATTATCTAACTCTATGGTTCCGTTAATTGTCAAAACCGGTACATTTTTCTGTAGAGCCTGTAACCGAGCTGTCATAATAAGATTGACAATATTCATTTGAAGTTTCGCGCTGATTTTATTCTCTGGGACCGTTTTGAGTAAGCATGTGACGTATGTTCCGAAATTTTCGATTTCCCGCTCTTCGTTCTCCGTTAGGTTGATCTTGTAGGAGTATTCTTCGCGGTAGCTGATTCGTCGCTTGGGTCGTTTGGGGGAGCGCGTGTCTTGATTTGTTCCGAATTCGCTGGAGGTCGTTGTGTCTAGCTTGTCTTGGTTTTCCTGATTCTGAAAAAAAAAATACTGACACTATAATTTCTTGAAATAAAATTTAATTATTTTATCTTCAATTTTAATAATCATATTTTTGGTTTGGTATTACTAGTAATAAAAATATAATGCTTTTTAGCTAAAGCAGTGAATGTTAGGTATGGCAGAGAAAGAATGAAAGTGGAGTGCCGTAAAAATGTAAGTGTTATGGCACACACATACATAAGTAATAGTGAGTGTGTGAGCAGTGTGGGTTTAAAAGTTGACATAATGACAAGAATACAAAAGTAAATGCTTATGTGGTTTGGCCATGTAGAATGGATGAATGAGAAACGGCTTACAAGCAGGATATACAATACAACTGTGGATAGTCGGTTGGGTGGGTTGGCCCTGTCGTTACAAGAGAAGGGACAAGATAAAACTCCCCATAACCGATGAGCCTGCATGTTAAATGTCATAAGAGTTGATGAAGTGCGAGTTAAGTCAGGATTTTAGCAAGTGAAGATCAGTGGTCTCTGCCCACTATTGCTATATGGTCTCTCTGGAAGCATTGAGTTGAAATATTTAGTAATTCTTACCTCTTGTCCTATATCCGGCGGATCACTTTCCTTACTTCTTTCAACCACTTCGCTGTCTATATCTGGTGTTGTTTGTAAATTAATTTTTGTATTCATAATCAAAGTCACAATTTCCATTTGTAGCTTCGAACTGGCTGCCCTTGGTACACCTTGAAATTTTGTACTGGATTAAAACAGGTAAGAAAAACCCGATTACAGGTTTTACAATGATATAATCATTGTGTTAACTTAAATAATATACTAAAATGTTACTAAAGATATTATAGCCAAAGTTGAAATACATAATGTATACAAAAAAGGTTTAAACATTTACGAAAGGAAAAAATCCATAAAAATTATTTCATTTCTGTATGTATGTGTGTTGCAGATAGAAATGTGCTAGTGCTAGGTGATTTTAATGCTAAAATTGGACAACCAAAAGATAATGAACACTTGATATTGGGACAATATGGATACGGTAATAGAAATCAAAGAGGAGAAAGACTATTACAATATGCTTACGAAAACAAACTATCAATAATGAATACTTACTTTAAAAAAAAAGAAAATCGAAAATGGACATGGTGTTCACCAGATAGCAAAACCAAAAATGAGATAGATTTTATTATGAGCAATAAACCGAGAAATATTATCAACCTGGAAATTGTGAATAATCTAAACTTCTCATCAGACCATAGACTTGTTCGAGCCTCCTTGATAATAGAAAAACCGAAATTGAGCAGAAAAACTTTTAAACCTTTAACAACAACGCCAAAATCCGAATGCGAGATAGACAAATACATAAAAACCCTAGAAAAGAAACTGTCAAATACAAGTGAATATCTAAACAGTCTGAAAGATGTCCAAAAGTACTACGACGTATTAGAAGAGACAATGCTATCTAGCCTCAGAATAAAAGGAAAACACAAAAATAATGAACATAAAATATTTCAAAATACTACATTAGAACTAATAAACAAACGCACGAAACTAACAGCAACACAGAACAAAACCAAAGAAATGAAACAAGAGCTAAAAGAAGTTTACAAAAAGACCAATAAAGCCATTCGAGAAGACTACAACACCCATAGAAGAAAAGTAATTGAGAGAAACCTAACAACCTATAGAAGTACAAAAAGAGCTTATAAAGAATTAAAAACACATAAAAACTGGATACAAAATCTAGCTGTTAACCAGGGCAAAACAAAGACTAGACAAGATTTAATTAAATGTGCCACAGCATTCTATTCAGAACTATATTCAAAGCCAACCGAAGAAAATAATATACATGAAATTATATATGCTCAACAAAGAACAAGAACTGAAATAAATGAAGTGACAGAATCTGAAATTCTAAAACACATAAAGAAATTGAAAAATGACAAGAGCCCAGGATCAGATAACATCAGCAATGAAGCCTTGAAACAAGGAGCATTCCTAATAGCACCATTTTTAAAAAATCTAATTAACATGGTTCTCAAATCAGGAAAAGCTCCACAGCAATGGTGCCAATCTGAAATTATATTAATCTATAAGAAGGGAGATCCTAAGGATATTGGTAATTATAGGCCTATCAGCTTACTGTCCGCCCTATATAAACTATTTTCAGCATTGTTACTAAGTAGAATAACAGAAAAAATAGATCAGAGACAATCAATAGAACAGGCAGGCTTCCGCTCTAGCTTTTCCACAATAGACCACATACATACCATTGAACAACTCCTAGAAAAATTCAAAGAATTTAATCAACCTCTCTATATTGGGTTTGTAGATTACCAAAAAGCATTTGACACCATCACCCACAGCTCTATATGGAAAGCTTAACAGGCTTGTGACATAGACACAAGCTACATTAACATAATTAAAGATATTTACTCTAGGAACACAAGCAGAGTAAAACTCGAAAAAACAGGAGAAAATATAACCATCAACAGAGGCGTAAGACAAGGAGATCCACTGTCACCCAAATTGTTTATAGCAGTCTTAGAAACTGTATTCCAAAAATTAGACTGGAGTAAAAAGGGAATTTGGATTCATGAAAAACATTTGAGTCACTGAAGGTTTGCAGATGACATAGCTGTTTTTGCTAAATCAGCACAGGAACTGGAACAAATGATGCAAAACCTGAACAAGGAAAGCAAAAAAGTAGGGCTGTACATGAACGCTACAAAAACAAAAATAATAACAAATAGCAGTAGGAAGCCAATTCAAATACACGGAGTCTGCATTGAATATGTTAAGGACTACATTTATCTAGGCAAATTGATATCATTTGAACCAAACAGCAACGACGATGAGGTAGAACGAAGAATCAAAAACTCATGGAAAAGTTTCTGGTCTCATAAAGAAATACTCAAAGGAACCTATAACTTAAAAGTAAAGAGAACAGTGATGGACACATGTATTTTACCTTGTCTAACATATGCAAGCCAAACATGGGTATTCACTAACAAAGTGAGAAACAGATTGCTTACGACACAACATGCTATGGAAAGGAGCATACTGAAAATTAAGAAGATACAAAAGATAAAGAACAAAGACATTCGCCAACAAACTAAATTAACTGATGCTCTTAGGCGCGCCTTAAGACTGAAATGGCAATGGGCAGGACATATCTCTCGATACATCGACAAAAGATGGACTGTACAAACTACAAAATGGACTGGTCCACTTGGTAAGAGAAACATAGGTCGACCCAAAAAAAGGTGGGTGGATGACATAGTCAAAGTAGCAGGCGGAAACTGGATTACTACAGCTACAAATAGAATAAAATGGAAAAAAATGGAGGAGGCTTTTACCCAGATGGGATCCAAACTTTGAATATACTAATGTTACACATACTAACATAGACTAAGATTACTACATATTACTAACATATAAAATATTCTTACTTCTTTTTTGTACCTTAATGAGTTTGGAATAAATAAAGCTATAATAATAATAATAAAAATGTATGTGTGTATTCACATCGCCCTACAATAGTAAAGATTTCAACAAAGGGAATTTTTATATGAGAAATATGCTAAAACTTGTAAATGATTAAATGAATAAAGCATAGCTTAAAGCAAATATTCAGAACATATACACACCTTTCAGTAATCCTGTGATATATTTTCCAAAGTTTTCAATTTCCACATCGTCCTTACTTTGGCTTTTATTTGGTTCAATGTACTTTACGTCATCTCTTGTGCTGTAGCGTCTCTTGAATGTTTTCTTGGCCTTGGGTTGCACTTCAAACAACAATTTATCCTGATCCTCCTTAATCGACTCTATTGGTTCTTCTAGGTAGATTACTTCCGTAAAATTTTCTTCATTGTCTTTGTACTCCAAGTTCTGGAATTTTAAGTGATATGTTACATACACATGAGCCAATGGGTAATTAGGGATGTGACCTATGCCTGTATCTTACCTTCGAGTAAGATGCAGGCAATCCTGTCAAATAAAAATATAGTCCATTTATAAGCTGTTGATTAATATTTTGCTAGGAATCAAAGTCAAGATTACATCTCACAGTGAGTTTAAGTGACATCAATTGGAAGTAATCACCTCGGAGATCTTAGAATGTTTTTCTTTCAGATGTTTGTACAGTGTGTCTGCATCCCGCCTAAGCCGTTCATCACACATGGAGCATTTGGCCTTATTGTGAGGTTGCTTGTCAAAGAAACCCCACAGCTCACTATCAGGATCCAATACAATTGATTCTTCATCTTCACTTCCAGAGTTGGTTTCTGAAATTAACACATATCTTTGGTTAATTTGAATACACAGTTAAATATAACTTCTTTAATAGATGCTTTAACTATAAAATAACATTAATATTGGCCTCACTTTTAGTTGGATCATACAAACATCAAATCGAAAATACCTCATTACACACAATTAGACATAATTTAATACATACAATATGTTGTAGTTTAATTAATATATTATAGCAGAATATATAAGGCAATTGACATGATATTGCTAAAGAGAATTAAAATATTATTCATATGAAAGTAGCAAGTTCAGTACCAAATTTTTAACACATGCCTTGTTTCATAAATCGCAGTATTAGTTAAAATGTTATTTTTATTTGATTATGAGTGTTATAAATCAAATATATTTTATTTGCATCACTTCTAATACCTCTATAATATAACGAAATAAGTTTAAGTAACAACCCATATTTAACCTTTTTTCGATGGCTGAAATTCACCGGTGTTTACAAGATCACTATGCTTATATTGTAAATGTTTCTTTAAATTCGTTATCGACGTTTTAAATGAGTATAGTTTTGAACAGAAATGGCACCTCGCGTCGGTTGAATTTGGTGTCTTATCAAAATAATTCCAAACTTCACTCGTCATTGATAAAATCACAAAATAACAGTGATTTCCTTATAATATATAGCAACAGTTATTTAACAGCGCTAGAATGCACGACACGACCAAAATGGCCGCCTCGAGTATTGACAAAATAACAAGTAAAGAAAGAGACAAAAGATATTCTTTTTTTAAAGTCTAGTCGAAGAATATTACGGAATGTTATAGATAATTTCTTGTTAGGATTTTTTTAGAAATCAGTATTGTGCAAGACCTCTAACATGTATCCACATATTAGAGTTGTGACTTTTTAAAGAAAGTAAATATAGATATTCGGCTGCAGTTATTAACCGAAACCGAATACTATAATTCATCACTTTAACTTAACAAATGTTAAAATAATTCGTTCGTCAACTTACTACATGGAAATATTGGATTGTTGTAGCTTTGAATACTTTTAATTGTCTTTTCAGCTCCATGTATCCTCATATATGCTTCTTTATGTTTGGCCTTCAAATGTTTAGCCAAAGATGAAGTCGAAGCTCTCTTTCCCGTACCGCCGCGAGAAATGTGTATATTACAAATATTGCATTGAGCGTAACGCGAATCATTCTCCTTAACATCAAAATAAATCCAAACTGAGGATCGTTTTTTATTCTTCATATTAATCGAAAATATTTTAGTATCGTATTTATAATTTACAGAGTCAATTACACTGACTGATATTAAACGTGTTATGACAGCTGGAAAGAGATAGAACGCTTTGTAAGAACGTAGACAAGCGCGCTAGCCGAAGTGCGACCTACGAACGAATTCTTCGGCCGGAGTTCTGACTTGTTCCCGAATAAACAATAATCTGTACAACACTACTTGGAGTATCTCATTTTTTTTAAATGTTTAAAACTAGTATTATTAAAATTTCCGATAATATATTTGAACCAAAACAGTTTTAATTTTATAAATTTTTTGTAGGCTACTTTATTGAAGCTATTAAGAATGTTAATAGGTATGCCAAATCGGTTGAAAGTGTGTTACAGTAAATGTATACAAATACACTAGTACTTTTGTAGTCAAAAATACCTATTTGTTATAATTTTACAGGCATTGAAACTTTCTATAAAATAAGGTGACCAACTATTTTTTGTTCAAAAAGAATACACTTTGCAAGTATTTCATAGGTGAAAAAACGATAAAAACTTTATTTGCTTTTAAAAACATATTTTCTTCGGAGTGGATTTTTTGCTAAATGAGGATTTTCGGTTAAGGGCGTGACCAAACAGGGCGTGCAAGGTGCGCGGCAGCAACATGCGGCATTCGTAGGACACAACAACGAATGCTCAATACGAATTAGGGATGCGAGATGATTATCAATGTTCGATGATCATCGATGTTGAAAGCAAAAACATCGATGTTGCTATACGATAAATATCGTAACATTGGTGTTAGCTCACGGCCGCAGCACGACCAAGGCAACTTACGAAAAAATTTATGTCCCTATGAACGCATCTAAAAATCAGGTTTATTCAAATTCTGAACGCGTATTCATTCACTGCGCACCGGTCGTTCACTTTTTTCGTTCTTTGTAGTATCACTCGCTCTTTCTCTCTTTCTCTTTATCAACAAAGAAATAGATTAAAATGTTCCTCTTTATCAATATTACTTAACATTCAGTCAGTTGAAAAAACAAAATCGAAATATGTAATAATTTGTCCTGTTACTTAATAAATTGCATGCAAAAATCATCGATGTTTGGTTGTTTGGCGTGCCGCGCTATATTTGGTCACCCCCTAATAATGTAGCCACATCCGAACAACTTTCATTTTGCATATGAAATTTGACTGTTAGTATGACAGCAGATAATGTTTTTACAGAAAGTTGCGACTTCTCACTGCTCCAATAATCATTCCCTAGTGAAAATACCCTTTCAACAGTAGCATTAGTTCTACTTTCTCATCGTTCCATTTCTTCATTTAAATATAAATAATTTACTCTTCGAATTTATATAATACAGATGAGTACTTTCAGAGTACAGGATTTGAAAACGTACGGTTTGCGAAAAAAGAGTACCTTAACTATTAAAATTTTCAATATAATATTTTAACCAAAACAATTTTAATATTATAATAATAAAAAAATGTACAAGTTTTTTGTAGGCTACTTTATTAAAGCAATTAGAAAAACATTTTTATGAGGAAAGTGTAAACGTCATGGGTAGTTCTCCGATTTTTAATGTTTGAGTTTCAAATGTGTTTAAATTAGTAATTGTCCTATATGAATAAAGCTGTTTGGTATCGGACGCTTTTTCAAAATACAGTTTAAACTCTTTATAACGTCATTCGTTATAACGTAAAAATGAGTTAAATTTATTTGGCCCAATACCCATACATTAATTCTTCGCTCCCTATAACGAATTCTCTCTATAACAAATAAATATGCTCGGTCCCTTGAAATTCGTTATAAAGAGTTTACTCTGTACTGCTAAATAGACAATTTAAAACCACTTACCAATTGAAAATAATAATTTAAAACATTTGTCAAAATTCTAAAGACCTAGATGTTTGTTTTTCAAAGTAATACAGAGGATTTAAGTTCTACCTTAGACAGACTTCAAGACAAGACATTATTTTAATCAAATCAAAATGTATTTTATTTTCAGGAACAAAATTGAAATACTATTTGATATATAAGATATTATTACTGTTATCGAGTGAGCTTAACTGAATTGACAGCTTCACTAAACACATTTACCTACCAACACCAAAACTATAATAAACTAAACAAAATATTAATTTTCTAAGACAAATACATTAAAACCCACAAATAAGAGCCCACTATTACAGCTAAATCCTTATTGAAGTATTTTAAATACACTTAAGAAGAACTTATTTATGCTTAAACACTAATCACATTATTACAGAAATCTTTACTAGTATACTGTACTCAAAAGACGAAGAACCCTGGAGCTCAGCAGCATTGACTGGGCTAATATTATTATGGTAGATATTCCTAATGAGGAATATCTCCACCCGAAAATCATCCTACAACTCATCTGCTCATAGTCAGAAGACTGATTGCACGATGCGCTCTTTAAAAAACAAAGTATACTGTACTATATACATATAGAAAACTTATTTGGCTGGGGCTGTACAACAGAGAACCTCTTGCGACAAGGAAAATAGATGTAGTAAATTATAAACAAATACTGGTTGATGGCGGCATTATATCTTGGGTCTGTTTTAATGACATTTCTTCTAATCTTAGTCTATTCATTTAACTACTCCTAAAAATTACTCATATTATACTCTAAAGTAAAAAAGTATTGCAATCCACTTGCTTAGTCTCTGATACATTGCAAAATACAAAACAAAAATTTTCCAACATCTATTTAATTTGCCTTTTTCTTACATCCCAATACGGTCAACAAGTCATGTTTGAATGATAATTGCTTCAAAAGTGTATAGTGAATATGTAAGAAATACAAAGCCCTTACATTGTCTGCATTAAAATATGTTTAATTTTCTCAATCTCACAATTGACTATTAAAACCTTCATTCTTTCAAACTTGGTACTGTTGGTAAACACTTGGGTGAGATTGTAATATCTATAAGTCATTGGCTGTATAAATTTAACAAAATGGATTAATGTAAACAAAACATTTACAATCTCTACTAAAGTCAATGAATATATGTATTTGTTATTTTCTAAGCCAACAGCTATCAAAGATTTGGTATTTTGTCCTAAATGCACAGCTTTAACACAGCCATATATGATTTCATCTTATTAATATTGTTTGTTTGTTGTTGCTTAAAACAAGCTATTCCTGATAATTTCGACTTACGTATTTTATGATTTCTGTTGAAAAAATAATGTATCTATTACAAAGTACAAACATGTACGTACTATACCAGTATGGCGCATCTCTCTTACACAAAGAAACCTAAGATTCATAAATATTTGTTTGAAACAATACAAAAAATGTACTCAAAAATATGTCTTTCTGGTATGTGCTTTTATATAACTAATATGTTTAAAATACTTCTGACAAGATCGCTTGGGATTGCACATTGGTTATGAGTTTCATTATGTGGGTTAGGTTATTTCATATTACCCGGTATGGAACAAATAGTACATACCTTGTTCTATTTTCCCTGGATACGCGTCTCGATGTTTTCGGTATAAATGTTTCGTTAAATTTGATACAGATGCGCGGTAACTAAAGCTTTCCTTACAAAGTTTGCACACCGCCCTAGAGTTACCAGCATCATCAAAATACTTCCAGGCAACACTGCTTCTTTGTTTATAAGTATAACTCATTTTATATCAAAAAATACTAGTCGGCACTCGGCACTTACTTTTGAAGCCACGCTTATAATACTAGTTTACCCTTACGATTCCGCCATAAGTATATAATATGTTAGATGCGTCATGCGCCGTACGCGAAGTGACGCATCAGTACAAATGTCAAATGCCGCTACCCAAAAATACCACAGCCTTTTAGCGTCTAGGACTGTATGAATCACAGAACATGAATGACCTTGTATCATTCGCAAGATTTTAAATAAATCGTATATTGGCTATAAGTAATTAATAAACTTAGTTATATTCCTAATAATTTATATTAGTATAAACTCAAAATAAAAATAATGCAATATACAAATAAAAACACTGCAGTTGAATAAAGGGTTACCAGTGGTTAGTAAGACTTTTATGTCTATTATCTATATACCGCACCTTTATTTCTAAACTGTTACTAAACGAAATTTTTACTAAGAATGTACCATATCAATGTCATTTTGTTTTAATCGTCAAAATCTACAAAACGAATATGACGTCTATTTAATATCCCAGTATTTTGGTAGATGGCGCTAAATTTAAACGATACTAAACTGAAATTTAAAACAGTTATTAGCGAAACCGTAACTACACCAGTTGTCACCTAGCACTTACGGAACCGACGGAATAGTTTATAAAGAAAGTGTAACTATTTGTTTAGATACGGCAGATTTTGACATTAATGTAAATTAGCTAATATATAAAATTCTCGTGTCACAATGTTCGTTCCCATACTCCTCCGAAACGGCTCGACCGATTCTTATGAAATTTTTTATGCATATGTAAAGAAACTTGCATGTTTCTTTGATATGTAATAGATGACGCCATCGGCCGTCTTGGTTTGAAGAAGAAGTTTGACAAGTGAAAAGTCAACGTTATTAATAAATTGTTTGATTGTGAAATTGTAAAAAGGAATTGATAATTTTATAATAAACTTTTAATGTCGTTTCCTTGTTTTCAGGTATTGTTATATTGTTATTTAGGTTTAGAATAATATAATTAGTATAGTGTGTTAATAATAAAATAAATATCCTTGTTTTCAGAGAAACACAATTGTTTATTTTCAATTCCATATAAAAAGATATAATCTTATAAAACGACATTTAGTTCTAACGTCTAGTTAAATCCAGAAAAATGGAGAAACTACTATTTGAATTTGTACTAATGGGGTCAACGGATGGAAAAACAAATGTCATATGCATAACCTATATTGAGACACCAGACGGACGTGTATTTGAAGTCCCAGATGAGTTAAGGCCTATAAGTAAGCACACTGCTATATTAAATTCCAATGTATCGTATCGTATATAACGAAGATAAAAAATTCACTA